ACACACACACACACACACACACACACACACACACACACACACACACATTAAATAGCTGTTACTTACCGACTCGTCTTACTTGTTCAGAAATATCATCTCTGATATCTGACAAGTCCCACATAGCGAGGAAGGAGTCAAAGCAGGAGCCCTCCTCCGCTTCATGCACGTAGGGCTTATAGGAGAAACTATAATGATGGGCGATTGCCGCAAGGAACATTTCAACGCAGATTATAAAGTCCTACAGACGGTAACAACATCAGGCCTCTTTGGGATTAAATCTAGTTCTCCAAACTAGGTTTAAATAACTTTTTCAAAGTTATTTAGGGTATCAATTTTTTTTTAAAGTTCCAGATTATATTCATTTTTTAAAACTTTTTTTTCACTTCTTAACCTAACGAGCTAAGATTTATATCTCTTTTTCATTTCCTCAGTCAAGTATTTTTCAGTCTGTTAACCAGTGACTGAAAGATAACATGCAGATATAAGTGGACCAGGAACAAATAATCATCAGTTAGTATGTATGGTTCATCTCTCTAGAGTTCCTGGCTCCTCACCACAGTAAGATAACAGCTTGCCCCATTGTTTGCATGTGGGCAGATTCAATGGCTTAACAAACCGTCAAATTTGTTGAGTTCAGACACAGCACTACTTACCTGCAGGCCCGTGGCCACAGCTTCTGCACTTTGCCATTCCCAGGTGCGCCTTTCTGAAATAACGCCAACTTTAACCAACAAAGCAATAAGTACTGCTTGCCTGTATGTCAAGAAAAGGTCAGTGTTTAAATAATGAGAAGATCAACTTGGGGCTGGGAGGTAGCACATATCTGTAATTCCAGTGCTCCTAATGTGAGCTCTGGGAGGTAGCAAAGAGAACCCCAGGAAGAGTGCAGGCCAGCAAGTCTGATATATGCAGAGGGAACAAGTAGGAGACCCTGTGTAACCAGCATTTGCTACTTTGTGGGTTCTTCCTTCTTTCACTCCTTTCCACCCCGTAACACTGGATAGGAGAGAAGGAAAGAAAGGAAAGACATCCCTGAATAAAGTCAGGGGTTGGAATAGGCAACATTATCATTAGACTACTTCTTGCTGATAAGTGGTGTTGAGCTCCTTGGGGCAAGTTTGATCTTCGTTGTCAGGATATCTAATTTCTTATTTCTCCTTTGCACACGACTACTTAACAAACTACAACCAACAGCAACCAATAACTCTGACCCCTCAGGGCCCTAGCATTTATATATCCTCTGAAAAGTCCTCAGAATTCCAAATGTTACATGATCCCAGAAACAATCTGCAGCTGGCAAAATCACACCTCTGCCAGAGCACAAGGCAAATCATAGCTGCTGCGAAGTAGTCCTATATTCCCACACCTGGGATTTAAATGGAAATATAGTCTTTAAATTTTTTTAAATTTTTTCTTCACAATTATTCATTATCTAGCCTGACTGAAGCCCTTCCCTCAACTCCACCAGTCCCACCCCCCCCATCCCCTTTCCCTAGTCTACTGAAAGGTGGAGTTCTCCACTATTGCCATCTGCCCACAGCTTGTTAAGTCTCATCAGGACTGCTTGGATCCTCTTCCTCTGTGTCTTGGCAAGGCTGCATCATAAGGGGCGAGTGATCAAAGAGCAGTCAACTGAGTTCATGATAGAGGCAGTGAAAATATATTCTTATATTTTGTATTTTAAAAGACACCAAAATTCCAGAATTTTCACCACAACCCTGTCTCAAATGAAAGGCAAGGACTGACACCCAAAATTGTCCTCTGACCTCCAAATGCACACAGCATGTACATGCCCCCAATTACACATTAAACACATAAATATCATATAAAAAAAGATTAAAAAATACACAGCTTAGCTGGGCAGTGGTGACACAGGCCTTTAATCACAACAGTTGGGAGGCAGAGGCAGACAGATCTCTGTTACAAAGTAAGTTCTGGACAAACAAGGCTACACAGAGACACCGTGTCTCAAAGAAGCAATTTAAAACAGTTAAGGCCTCAGTGTGTGCCCTAGGATTCCCCACTATCTTGCCTTCAGGGCATATTCCCAATCAAGTTGTGTGTATATTAAATGTACTCATCTTGCCTTACAAAATTCTTCTATTAGCTTCATAAGATGAATTCATTATATATTCTTAAAACTTCATCATTTATATGTATATATCATCTAGCATGTGGGCTCCGGGATGGAATCACTGTCACGCTTGGTGATGGCAAGCATCTTGTCTTGCTGAGCCACCTCACTGACTCTACTGTTTTCAGTTTTGTTTTAACTTCACTACTTACGAGTCGTGTGGCAGGGTGCCAGAGGACAATTCTGTGAAGTTGGTTTTCTCCTACCTTTACATGGGTTCTGGTGGTCAGACTCAGTTTAGGTTGCAGAGCAAGTGCCTTTCTCTGTTGAGCTATCCTGCCAGCCCAGATTATCTCAGCTATGATACTGTTGAGTCCCATGAGCTGCTTCTGAAGAAGACTGCATATGGCATATAGGGCGTATGTGACTCTTACTATCTACCCTGTTACTAATCTAAGACCAGGCCTAGTTTTGCTTTGTATTTTTTGTTTGCTTTGTGACACTGAGGACAGACAATAGGGCCTTGTATGCACTCTGCACACACACACTACCTATCTAAGGGCTGCTTATCCTGCCCTACCCTGTGTTTTAAAGGACACCCATGGATAAACATTTTCCCATGTCATTAAGTGTTTTCTCCCAAGTTGATACTGGTTTATTTATGATAGAATCATAGTTTTAAGTAATTTATTCATTTTGAGATAATGTCTTTCTATATAGTTCTGGCTGGCCTCAAACTTGCTATGTAGACCACGCTAACCTTGCACTTACAGAGATCCACCTGCTTCTGCCTCTCTGGGAGTGCTGGGATTAAAGATGCACACTACCACACCCAACAGAACAATAATTTTAATGATAGTATCAAGATATTTAGCTATCTAAAATTATCTTATTCTTTTAAATGTCATAGTGATCATCTATTTCTTTGACTGTTTAGATACAAGATTACACATGTGGCATAGGCTGGGTCTAGAACTTGTTATATAGTTAGTCCAGGCTGTCCTCAATACTCATAATTTGGGATACTCTTGCCTCACCATGAGTGCTGGAATTAAAGGTATGTACCACTACACATGACTAAGAATATTTTTTTTTGTAAATCTTTTTAAAAACTTTAATGTTTATTTTTTATGTGAGTTTTGCCTGCATGTATGTATGTATATATGTATGTATGTGTAACACATGTGCAGTACATGCAGAGAGCATTAGAACCACTGGAACAGGAGCTGCAGAAGATTGTGAGCCGCAGAAGATTGTGAGCCACCAACCTTGTGGGTGCTGAAAACTAAATCCAGATCCTCTGCAAAAGCAGCCAGTGCTCTCATCTGCTGAGTCACCTTCCCAGTCCTGTTTTTATAAATCTTACAAAAGCTAAAGGAATGGCTTTTTAAAAAAGGTTTTCTTACTTCTATGTATGTGTGTCTGACAATGCAAGCATGTGCTCCATAGGCTAGAAGGGGGCTTCAGCTTCCTTGGAGTTAACATGAGGATCTGAGCTGCCAGACATGGGTGCTGGGGACCAAACTGTGACCTCTGGATAAGCAGCAAACTCTTAATCACTGGCCCATTTCTCTAGCCCCAAAGACTAGCTTTTGTTTTTTGAGACAGGGTTTTTCTCCATGTTGCCCTGGCTGTCCTAAAACTCCCTCTGTAGACCAGGCTGACCTTGAACTCCGAGATCCATCTGCCTCTGCTTCCTGTGTGCTGGGATTAAAGGTGTGTACCACCACCTAGCATATGCCTAACTTTTAAAAGAAGTTAAGTAACAGCACTTTAGTTCACCTCCTATATTAACACTTGTTTTCTTTGCAGTTTGTATTTTGATAGCTCAGGCTGGCCTTGCACTGGTAGTCCTGCCACTCGGTCTTCCAATTGTTGGGATCATAGGCAGGCACTACTGAGCCTGGCATTGTTTTGATATTATTTTAAAATTCTCTTAATCAACAGTTTTTATTGGCATTTATAAAACGAGAACATCCAGGAGAAAGCAGTACTTACCAAAAGGAGACGAAGACGACAAGCTTCACACAGAGAAACTTGCCAACAGGTTGTATAGGGCTGAGTTCTTCCTTGAGCACTTGGTAAAACAGCAGAAGGCAGTACATGGCGAACTAGAGACAAAAGCACCAGTCAGCACTCTGCAGGACAGGAGCTGCTACAGCAGGACCACAGCCTGCTCTACTGCTCTAATGGCCCAGGCAGTACCCAGCTACACTGAGAGCAGGCTGTTCAGGCTTTGCTGCAGATGCTCAGCAGTGAAATTTCTCAAGAGAGATATGTAATGTTTTCTGTAAAGATGTTTCTAAACGTTCACTTACTGGAACTCCAAGCAATAAACAAATGACATGAATGAAACAAAAGGTTTCCTTCAGTCAAAAAAAAAGAAAAAGCAATCAGATGTCAGCTTTTAAACACAAATTACCTACTTACCTACTTTTATAAGTATTTAGATTACTTTTATTAGCTAGTCTCTTGCGTAACATTTACACAACACACACACTGCTTGCTTAATTAATTAATTAATTAATTGTTTTTTAAAGAAAGGATCTCGCTATGTAGCCTTAGCTGTCCTAGAACTTTCTCTGGCCTCAAACTCACAGCCACCTGCCTTTGGCTCCCCAGTGCTGGGATTAAAAGTGTGTGCACAAGCACCCAGCAAATTCTTCCATTTTTATTCAACTCTATTCTATCAATATGCCAATTAGACTTTTTCCCCGTACTGAGTAGGCCTCTGTATTATGTTTGTTTATTTATTTATTATTCAGGAGGCACACAATACATACAGCTACACAGCCATGAAGCAAACTACAGGTCTACATGTAAGTCACTGAATCATTCACAAACATATTTGCTTTGTTTATACTGCATAAAAGTATACATTTAAGCTGCCTAAAATTCCATGTTCAAATTAATATTTTATCTCAAGAAATAGTACCTGATAATATTTAGCAACAGAAATTAATCTAGTACAACTAAAAATACGATTATTTACTCACCAGTTGTGACAAATTGTTTATTATAACCAGGTAGGTCCAAGCATTGGAGAAACTAAAGTTCCCCTCATCGTATACTCCAAGGATTTCACACACCCTGAAAAGTGATAAAAATCAGACAGATTTATGATTAACCAAGTAGACCTACATCTCCCCCCCACCCCCCCCGAGGCAGGGTTTCTCTGGGTAGCCTTGGCTATCCTTAACTTACTCTGTAGACCAGGCTGGCCTCAAACTCACAGAGATCTGCTTGCCCCTGCCTCTCTGAGTGCTGGGATTACAGGTGTGTACTACCGTGCCCGGCTTGTGTGACTTGTCTTTATAAACCAACTAAAGGAGTGTTTTTCTCCTGTCTGCTCTCTAAAGGATGGGAGTCTTGTGGCAGTTCCTCCCACTGTTCACTGTCATGGAATCCAGCTGTATGTAGGGGGCTTTATAGTAGACTAGACGTCCACTATTAACTGGTAACTCTTTTTCCCATGTAAAAACACAAATCTTTAAAGACAGGGCTTCGGGTGGCCTTAAACTCTTTATTCTCTTGCCTCTGTCTTCCAAGTGCTAAGGATTATTTGCCATGAATGACTACGCTTGGCTTCTGTAGTGCTAGGGATTAAATGCTTTTGTACATGCGAGGTAAACAGTCTTATCAGCTGAGCTGCAATATAGTGTGAAGACTAACAATAACAAAAGCCACTGGCAAGTCATACTTACAGAGCAGTTACGGTAGTAATTGGTCTGACCACTGTGTACTGTAACACTCCTAGTTTGCATCTAAAAAGCAGCATTCTGCAAAAGAAAGGGACCATCTCAACTACGCAATGGCATGAAAACATCTCAGCCTCCCAACTAAAATAACTTTGACAAATAATAACAATTATACTTATTCTGCCAATTCTGTTCTAAAATGACAGTAGTTGAAAAACAGAGATGGCAATAAGGACATCTACAGACCATTTTGATATTATTTGATAACTTATTCTCTGAAAGACACTCCACCCCTTAGCTCTATTCTGGCACAACACAGAACAAAAGGAACAGAAGAAAGTATCGGGAACCTGGTCTTTTCCTGTTTCCTACTTCTGCCATGATCACCTTAAACCAACAGGATTAAATGATCTGAATCTGTAAGCCAAATAAAGCTGATTATCTCGGAAGTTTTGGCAGTGACAGAGAGCTCCTTAACAAAGCTCCAGGAGAAACACTGAGGCAATAAACAATAAATTGTGTGCACGTGCATTTACATTGCAGATGCAGCTTCCTTGTGAATGGTTTACAGAGAGATTTAGTTGGACAAGGATTGTCCATCTGAGTGTGGACGGCATCATTCATCTCTGCTGGACAGCTGATGCACCTGCCATATGCCTTTCCACCATAATGGACTGTACCATCAAACTGTGAGCCAAATAAACCCTTTGCTCCTTAAGTTGCTTTTGTTATTTTGTCATAGCAGTAAGAAAGGTAAAGTTCTTTGTGTAAAACAAGCAATCTTAACCTTTTACTTTAACAACATTTTTTAGCCAGGGGCTGGTGGCGCACACCTTTAAACCCAGCATTTAGGGGGCAGAGGCAGGTGGATCTCTTTGAGTCTAAAGCCAGCCTGGTTTAGAGTGAGTTCCAGGACAGCCAAGGCTACACCGTCCTGAAAAACCAACTAAAACATCCACGTTTTAAAGGCTCATTTATTTTCCTTTATGTGTGTGGATATTCTGCCTGCATGTGCACGTGTGTGTGCGTGTGTGTGTGTGTGCATGTGTTGGATCCTGGGAACTGGGGCTATGCGCAGCTGGAACCTCTGCAAGGGTAACAAGTGTTCCCAACCACAGAGCCATCTCTCCAGCCTTTTAGGAAATGGCACCGGCTTATCTTCCTCTACTGTCACACACAAATAAAAGTAGTATTTTGCTAGAACATGGCTATTTTTGCTTTTGTTTAATATTACACGTTGTTTTCCCACCTAGTTTAAGTCTTTTAACTAGCAGTGTGATCCTGTACAAGATCTGTAGGCTCCAATTCCCAAGTGTAAAAAAGATGATTAAATATTTTTTTTCTGAATACATTGATAAACTTTTCATTGGCTGAGCACTGTAAAAATAGCAAAAACCTCCCAACATGTGCATCTTAAAAATGTATCTTGTTATCTTTCAAACTGTACCATGTGATAAACAGGGTAAGTGCTCTGCCTATTGTTTCTGCCCCATTCACAGCACTGTCTTTCGGAGAGCTGACTGATATTTAACAGTTCCGTTTCCGTAAAAACTAAACAAACACATTAAAACCCAAAATACTCACTCCCCCATTGCCCATGGTGGACAGCAGCATAAAGGAGGGAGGTGGTTTTGCTGATCTTTAGCTTCCAGGTGTAGCATCAAGTTTGGGAATCGAATTGTCAGGTAGTTGTTAAGAAATATCATGAAGTTATAGATGACATATGCTTCATAACATTCCCTCCAGGTGTCCACGTATATTGCAATTTTGGGATATTTCAAAGCCACCCACTATGGAAAAGCACAGATGTTAAAGAAGAGCTGTAGCCTAAATAACATAAATTGGTGCTCAGATTCACAGGGTGATAACCATAAAACCTGAGGGATCTTGTCACATAACTGCAGTAAAATCTCTAAAATAACCTGGAATAAGTTTATTTGGGGAGGGAAGCAAAGAATGCTGAGGATTAAACAATGCAAGGCTGCATGCCACCACAAAACTACATTCCAGGTCCTGCAAAACATGCTTTAAAGTGTAATAAACATCTTTGATGTAGTTAAACCAAAAGTGTTTGGGGTAAATAATGAACTTAAAAGAAAAGTTAATTGAGTTATCAAATATAAATTGAAACTAAGAAAAAAATAGGATCACAGAAAATGTTACCGATGACTCAAAAAAAAATGACCGATGACCCCCCAAAAAAATAAAATTGGTGTTTTTGTTTTTTTTTTTAAACAGGGTCTATATAACCCTGGCAGTTCTGGAACTCACTTTGTAGACCAGACTGGCATCCAACTCACAAGAGTTCCCTCTACCTGGGTGCTGACATTAAAGGCATGTATCACCACACCTCACCACACCTGGATAAAGACATTTTCTTTTATATCTAATTAGTAGCTGTATCCACTGTGGAAATTTCTTCACTCTCCCACTACCCTCTTTTTTTTTTTTTTGGTACAAATAAAAGATTTAACTAAAAAGTGTGATAGTGAACAATGAGTATCCTTCTCAAAATCTGCACCCATGGGGTCAGCCACCCTGGAACAGAAACATTTCAAGGGACCCCTGAGCTCAGGTTTGCACTCTGAGCTTAGAGAGATCCTCTTACCTGCACACAGCACTGACAGTCTATCAGGTATCACAAGCCATCTAAATATGAGTTTAAGTATAGGAGAGTTGCATCTAGTTCATCTGCTGATGCTACCCATCTTATATAAGGGACCCAAGCCTCAGCATATTTTGGTGCCTGGGGTGGGAAGGAGTACCCTTCCCACCTAGGGACGGGGATAATTCACAAATTACAGTCTTTAAAATAGTAAGAATCACTAATTGAAAATGTAAGCAACTGAGCAAGGAAAACAGCTAGAAATATTTGAAATGCCTGCATTCTTTCATTACAATCTTCCATCTTCCTTAATGACCTTAAACAAGTGAGCTTGTGGCGCTCGTAGCAGTGCACACCTTTAATCCCAGCACTTGGGAGACAGAGGCAGGAAGCTCTCTGTGAGTTCAGGGTCAACCCAGTCTACACAGTGAGTTTCAGGAGAGCCAGAACCACATATTGAGACGCTGTCTCAAAAAATACAAAATACCTAGCTTTAGTGATGTATACCTTTAATCCCAGCACACGGGAGGCAGAGGCAGGTGGCCAGCCTGGTCTACAGAGTGAGTTCTAGGCCAGCCAGGGATACACAGAGAAACCCTGTTTTGAAAATACAAAAAGAAAAAAGGCGAAAATTTCACTATTAATATCTCTTTGTCAATATTGTGTGTTCATTACCTTATTAAGCATTCTCTAGTAATCATAGTTAAGAGTCATAAAATAGTCAATGAAACACAATAAAATATACTTACACTATCCAAACTATATATTGGAACCATCCAAAGAATCCTATGGAAAGTAAAACATAAACATTTAATGTGGTTTATGAATTAAGTCAGTCAATATCAGCAATAGCAAATGTAGTTAGTCTTGACCTTATGATGGGTTTTTGAAGTTCAGGTTGTGTGTAATGTACCAGATGTTGAAGAATTCCCCACATTGACACAGGTATCGTCAACAGCAGAAATATTCCAGCAATAAACCAAGCTTTAGTGTGGATTCCAACCTTAGAAAACAAAAGAACACATTAGCTTAGATTCTGATATTAAAACTATAAAAATCAATGTCTTTTCATCTGATTACTAATACTGCTTGGTATTTCCCAAATAGTAACAATTTAAAAAGATTTACTGTAAGAAAATTATATGTATGTATGTGTCTGTGTGTGGATATGTGCATGTGTGCGTGTAGTCACCTGCTGAGGTCAGAAGGTACTAGATTCCTTGGAGGCAGAGGCAGGTGGATCTCTGCGAGTTCTAGAACAACCAAAGCTACATATTGAGATCCTGTCTCAGGAAAGAGCAAAAGAACCCTCTTCAAAAACAAAACAAAAACAACAAAAAAACCCATTTACACAGTATCTTTGCCCATTCCTAGCTTGTTACTTGTTTTCTGATTCTGACTCTTGCTTGCTGTTTCTAAGTGAGGGCCCGATTCTGACAACTCATGAAGGCCAAGTGTTCTCACATTGTGCCGTTAGGAAGTTTCATTTCAAACAGTCATAAACCAAGTGACTGGAAAGATAAGTCCCTCCTGTAGTCATGTCCCATAGCACAGTATCACTCTGGCCACTGGCCTCTCTGCCTTAGTGTCCCCTCATCTGTATAAAGAGAGAATTTCCTATATTTTGCATTTCTAAGAAGATTAGAGTTACATAAAAAAATTAAAACAATTTTGGTGATATGCTCATTAGATAATGCCTCTAACCTTAAAAAGAAGTAACACAAGAACAAAATCTTTCCTTAATCTCAGTCCTTTCCACCTATGTGTGATCATTTCTCGGGCTCAAGACTCAAAATACTCAAAACTCATATATTCCTCGAGTCTGTGTTTCCAGCACACATTCCACTTAGACAGTTCGTTTCTGGTTTTGGCCCTTCCAGCTTCAGTGTAATCACTAAGTTGCCAATGACATTCTATTGTGAAAAGTGACAAACAGGGTGGCAACAGCAGACACAAGTGTTCCCCTTGGAAGCCTCCTTCAGCTCACTGACCCTCTTTGTAAATCCCTGTGAAATAGTGCTGCCGGGTCCTTTGCTCTTCTTTGTGTTCTTAATCTCACACATTCTTCTCGTTTGTTTGTTTTCTGAGACAGGGTTTCTCTGTGTAGCCTTGGCTGTCCTGGAACTCACTTTGTAGACCAGGCTGGCCTTGAACTCAGAGACCCACCTGCCTCTGCCTCCCAAGTGCTGGGATTAAAGGCGTGCACCACCATGCCCAGCTTCAAGCATTCTAAGTATGGACCCTGTCTAAAGTCTGGCCACTAGTAACTAGGTTGTGCTCTCCTCATTCATGTTGAAACTTAACCCCTAATGTAAATGGCTGTGTTTGGAGAGAAGGCTAGTAGGAAGTGCCGTAGGTGAAATAAGGTCACTGTCACATTGGGCTGGTGATCTCAAAAAGAGATCTTTCAGTATCTGATTATTCAAAGAGTATGGCCATCTGCAACCTGAGAGGTCCTTCCTCAGACTGCAAACCCCGCTGCCCCGTTATATTTGACTCCCAAATAGTTTTCCAGACTGTGAAAAAAAAGAAAGAAGTCCTGTTAGGAACTCAGATTGATATACATATTTAAATGTGTTCTACGCGTGGGAGTGTAGGTGTGCTTGTGTGGGAGTCAGTTCTCTCCTTCCGCCTGGTGGAGGTAGGGGCTCTTGTTTCTGCTGTTCACGACTCCAGGCCCGCCGGCTGGCAAGCTTCCAGGCAGTTGTTACCATCCTACCGTGGGTTACAGAGATGGAATTCAGGTGGTCAGACTGCTGTGTTAGCTGCTGAGCCATCTCCACAGCCCAGATTACGGCATTTTCTCCTGGCAGGGAGAGGAGTTAAGACCCCACATGTGTACCTGCGCTTTACGCTTTCTGAAGTCTAGACTTGTTTCCAAGTGTATCATCTGACACACCCACCTGCACGTCCTCCATTAAACATGCCTGTCAGAAAGTGAGGGACTTGGGATGTTAGCAGTTTGTACTAAAGAGTAGAAATGGTCTTACAGATTAGTGGCACTTTAAAACTACAGCTAGAGCTCACAATGCAGAAGTCTTCAACAAATGATACATACTTCACTTACCTTTCTATGCAATATTCCAGGGTACTAAGTGAGGAAATTATGCTAAGATTGCTATACCTAAATTTGGGTAGACAAATTTCAAATAACCTAAAAACTTAACAAATGAGAAATGTTATTAATAACGCTATATTGTAGTTATCTTAAACATCTAGATAGCCTATAATTAGAAAATTTTAGTGAATAAAAGGTCCCTAACAAATATGTTTAGACACATTGTTTAAAATATTTTTCCACAATCAAAGGGTGGGCATCTATATGGTCTGTCATAACTACTGAAATAAGTGCTTCTCAATAAAAGTATTTCCTGGTTATTATTTGTTAACAATTCTAAGTTCACTTGATACATATATTATAGATTTATGTTAAGTATCCCGCTAGTATTACTTTACTAATGTCACAACACGACATCAACAAATAATAGAAGGTGGGCCAGAGAGATGGCTCAGCAGATAAGGTGCTCGGCCTCCAACACTGACAACATGAGCTCACTCTTCAGCACTCCTTATGACAGGGGCAGAGCCAACGCCCCCGAGTTGTCCACACTCTGAGTAACTTCAGGCTTGGCAGAGCGCCTGCCCGCCTCAAATGCACAAAGCCCTGGGTTCAGTCCCCAAAGTTGAATAAACAGAAAGGTGGATACACCCATAAACCCGGGACTGGGAATGTTGGAGGTAGGAGGATCATTCTGCTCGGCTACAAAGCAAATTCCCGAACAGCCTGGTCTACATAAGAGTTTATGTCATAAAGAAACAAAGAAAAGATGTAACTTCAAACGTAAAAACAATTTACAAAGTCAAATTCACAGGAATCCTTTACTTCCAGGAAGCCCGCTAAAAGCTTATAAAGTCCATCCAGAACGTAGCTTTCAAGGTAGTTTATTTGATCTGGTCAAGCCCCAATATCTGCAGAGCAGATACGATTTCAAGAATAAAGTTCTTGGTCGGGCGCAGCGGCGCATGCTTGTAATCCCAGCACTCTGGGAGGCAGAGACAGGCGGATCTCTATGAGTTCGAGGCCAGCCTGGTCTACAAAGCGAGTCCAGGAGAGCCAAGGATACAGAGAAACCTTGTCTCGAGGGAAAGAAATTCTTTCTGGGAACTGATGGTTGTGGGCAAAGCAGTTCATTCTGAGCAGCTGCATTAACTGTTTTCTCCGCCGGGTCCCACTTCCACTTGCAGCGGCAAAATGAAATCAGACCGGTCGGTTTAAAGTGCAAAGACGCAATGTTTGCAGACTCCAAGCATCAGAAAGCAGACAAAGGACTCTGTCAACCAGCGTTAGGAACGCGCGGAGGTGCTGGACCCTCTTACCTTCAGTTTCTGGAGTTCCCAAATACACAGAGGAACCGCGACCAGGATGGAAACTACGTAAATAAGTACGAGCAGGGGTCGAATCCATCTCCTCCAGTTGTTCCGATTACAAGCGCAAGGCATTTTCGTAAACGAGCCAGCTCTCAGCAGCCGGGTAAAGGAACCGAACCAAGATTTTGGTAAGTTCTGTTCTTCGGTTGCTTCCTCCTCCGTCTCTCTATAGAGGAAGATTTACCAGGCGCTCGCGCCGGGGGCTCGGCTCGCGGGGCTCGCGGGGCTCGCGGCTGCCGCTCCGGACGCTCGCAGGGGCGGGTGGCATCCTCGCCGGCCCGCCCGCCCGCCCGCCCGCCTTCGGGGCGCGCCTCACCGGGGCGCCGCCCGCAGCGCCGGCCGCACCATGGCCCGCGCACGGCCGCGACCCGGGGCTCCTGCGCTCGCCGCCGGCCGGCTGCCCTCTTCCTGGTTCGACAGGCGAGTCTCCGCCCCCCGGAAGACCGGCCCGGGGCTTCCTCACTCACCCGTCGGAAACTTCTTCCGAGCTCATCTTTGCAAGATTTGCGTCCGCTTCCGTTTCCGTTCAGTTGCTCGAGGCAAATGATTTGCGGGGAGGTTCAAGCTGGGCAAACCTTGTCCGTTAACGCAAGCTATTATGATTGGGCAGCCGCGGAAAAGGGGCGGGACTGTAACCTAGGTTACCGGGGGCGTGGCGAGGGAGCCCGAGGACCGGGGCACCTTCGCTGGCATCCGTGGCTCCGGAGAGTGGCGGTGTGGGACCTGGGAACCCTTCAGAAGCACGTGCCACACCCTTGGGACTCTATTCCGTTTAAAGGAAGTCTTAGTGAGGGGCAGTCACGTGGAGCGGAGCTTGCCTTTTCCTCAGAAGGTCCTCAGTCGTCTTTAGGGCTGGGACCGGAAGCCAGCTGGAAAAAGACCGAATAGGAAACCTTCGCTTGGATTTCAGTCAGTTGAGCGCGTTTAGGGCCTTAAGGAGGGATCTTTGCATAATTTCTGGACGGGGCAGAAGAATCTTTCTAAAAGTAGTTTATTTGGAAGCAAGCGCCAATATGAAATATTCACATTCAAAACTTGTATTAAAACGTCTTACTCTCCCCCTCCCCCCCCCGCACCCACCGAGACAGGGTTTCTCGGTGTAACCTTGGCTGCCCTGGACTCTCTTTCTAGATCAGGCTGGCCTTGGACTCACTGAGATCCTCCTGCCTCTGCCTTCCCGAATGCTGGGATTACAGGCGTGCCCCACAGTGCCTGGCTAGTCTTACTCATTTAAGATTTAAAAAGTCAGCGTTCTGACTCGGAATGCTTTTAGCTGTAAAGGTTTACAGTGGCAAACGAGATCTTAAAGTCTTTCTAAATTAAGGGAGCAAGCAAACACCTGTGTCCTGATTAGACACATGAACGTGGCCTATATAATCATTTTCTGAAATCAAACACTATACGCACATTGTATGAGTTGAACTTCACAAAAGTACCGAATGCCAACAGGAAGTTTTGCGTTTTTCACATGAGAAAAATTTCAAGTGATTAATTTGCTCAAATATTGGCCTGCTAAGTAGCACAGCTTTTCCCTGACCTTGGACTTTGCTTGGTGTTTAAATATTTGCCTTAAACCAGGGGAATTCTGCCTGTTAGCCATTCGGACTAAGATCAGTGGACCAAAGTCTCACAGACATGCAAATGAAATCGTAAATTACTGTCACTCTGTAACCCAGAGCCTGGACTGACCTTGGCAGTCTTTCCCCTATTATTTTATCATCTCCATTTTGGTTTTGAGAGACCAAAGAATTAAAAATTAGTTTTTTGGGTTATTAGATTGAAGTTTAAAGCACAAGCCTGAACAAAGGCCAGACAGGTGGAGACATGTCCAGCCACCTGAGGGGAGGAACCAGCCTTACTGCATTCTTTTCCTACCACTAGAGATAGTGTCTATGAAACTGGCCCAGATCACCCCTCTCCCCTAGGACAGCCAAACAAGGGAAGCCAGACCATTAATGGTTTTGGGGTCTTCCTATAGCCTATCAGGATGACTCTGATGAGCTGACCGACGGTAGCTACGGGGACCTGGGAGATGTTCCAGATCCTGGCGGGGACAGGGCTCCCCCATAGCACTGTAGGGGACACAGAGTTCCAGATTGTAGGGGACACAGGGTCCCAAGCCTGTTTGATAGGCCTAGAAAGTGTGTTGCTCCTACAGAGACAGGAAGTGCTGCCAACATACTAGTTTTGGGTTTTTACCTGCTTGCCTGGTAGAATCTGTTGTTTGGCTTTGTGTTTGTCTGTTGTCTGTCGTGACTATTCTTATTTCTTTGGACAAGACTCAGAGGACGTATAACATGGGACAGACTCCTTCTAAACCCCTAGACTTAATTCTTGCCCAGCCGGGGAGCCCACCGTCTGTTTTTGGTGGACGAAGTTGGGAGTGGTTGACAGAGAGCCCACCTGCCTTGTCTTTGGGAAGGTTGATAGACTGCCCACCTGCGAGTTGGGGAGATTTTTGGTGGACATGGAATCCTACCATCTACCCTCCTCTCTGTGCTGCTTTCAGTTTCCATGGCAGGGAAACCATGGTGGGAGTCTGTGAGGCTGAGCTTTTGGATCTACTTCTGTTTCCAATTGCAAAACAGCTACACGGTTCTTGTCTGTCTTTCTATTTTGTTCCTTGTGTTTCTGTTTCTTCATTTGTATTGGACTGTAACCGACGATATGGGACAGACTGTTAACTCCCTAGACTTTTAACTCTTGCCCATTTCAGGGAGGCTCTGGTCTGGCAGAGTTCTGCCAATGCTCTGGCCTCTGGTCTGGCAGAAAGACAGGCTGGTGTAGTTGGGTGGAGCCCGATTTTGGGCAGGTCACCCCTAATGGAACAGAGCAGAGAGCCCATTGAGAGACGGGCCGCTGTTCCTTTGGTTTATCCTTTCTTTCTTTTTGCATGCCTTGTACCAGTACATTGTTTTCTTGTGTTGTTCTTTTATGGGTTTGTTGTTTGTTTATGAGGGTCTCAGTAGGCTGGTGAACAAACAGCTGTGCACTGTGGTGACTTTGCCTGCCCCATGTTCCCAGTGCTACAAGCTGGGCCACCTCTGGTCGCTGGTGGGAGCACGCCTCAGGGCGGGCGGGACAAGTAGAGAACAGCCAAGAGCTTCTCGGGCTCCCTGAGCTTGCCCAGCCTGATGGGACGAAGTGCTTGAAATTACAGCTGGATGGAATAAGAAAAGTTTTGTCTGTCTGTTTAAGTGTATGTATAGCCATTATATGTTTCCGACTGATCTTAAGTGGTTAATATGCTCTGTATGTCTTGGTTATAGATGAACAATTACTGGATATTGAAAGATCCCCGGAGGGTATCTTCCGTCAGAGAGACCCCCTCCCAAGGATCAACGAGTCCATTCGGATGCAAACAGCAAGAGGCTTTTATTTTGATACACAGGTACCCGGGGCAAAAAGTCTTTCGGAAGACTTCCGCGCCCCCTAGGTAGAAAGCTGGGGTTTTTATAGGGTTTTAGAGGCAGAGGCACTGGTACAGAAACGAGAGGGCATGGTTACAGGGGGCTGATTGGTACGTTTACACGAGACCACAATTTGCGTCAAAGTTTGGCAGGGGCACCAAGATTTCAGGAACTGGGTGGTCAAGGGGGGTAGGATGACCCCTTGACGTGGCCCGCCACCTGTTATTTTGTTTTTCCCTATCTTAGCTGAAACAGTCTCACAGATATCTATGAGAGTGATTAACACAAACTGTTTTTAGTATGACTGGGGCAGCCTGACCACAGATATCCCAAGTGGGTGACACAGCTGAGTGTTTTCAGTAATTTTCCAGTTTCTCATCTGGCCTTCAGAGTTTTACAAAACAGTGGTGTCTCACAAAATGGCATTAGCTATGTTTAACTTAGGGTGAGGCTGGGGTCTTTCAGATATGTTTAAAGGTTAAAACCAAACTCTTGTTTAGGACATATATATGTATGCATGTATTTGTAAGATCTGTAGAAGCACAGATGTTTTTAAATAGCAACCATGTGGCTTGTCATGCCATGTGATGACATCCACCATCTTGAAATTGCCATATGGTATGGGGCAGGGCAAAGAAAAAAAAATTACAGAATCTCTTAGTCATAATAAATTTTGTTTATCATCCTATTTCCTTTTAGACTAAAAAGACAAGTCTCATTTTAAGTTGATATTGGTTTTAGAGATTGAATTTTTTGCACTGGTAAAATTTGGTTTTGACTTTTAAAATTATGGTCATGCTTTGTGACTTCACTCCTAAAAAGGGCACTTTATTTTGATATTGCAAAAAGAGATTTCTTCTAAAAATGTGTTTAAGGCTATGAAGCATTTTAAAGTGTAAGTTTATTGGGTATTTTATAATAATGTCTTTATGTATATATAATTCAGGGTCGTGCTTTTGCAGCATGCTGTACGTGTGATTCAGCCCTGGTTTGTGAAGGTCTATTCAGATTAACAGGCTGATCTGAAGTGTGTGCCTGTCTGCCAGTTCCTGAATGAACAGACTAATGCTGTTTCTTTATGGCTGATAGGTTTGCTGTGGCCGGAATAGTTCAAGTACAGTATAAAATTATTCTATGCTGTTCTGTTATGCAGATGGTTCTAAGACTTATTTGATTACAATGTTAGAACTTGGTTACGGGAAACTGTAAGTGCTCCACAGTGCTATATTGTGGGACACCTAATGGCCATGTTTTAAATTGCTGGCCACAGCCTGTAACAACACATGGCTAGCCGCCATGTTGGTTCAGGGATAAAGAAGATGGAGTCGTAGCTTTCCTGCTGCCTTTGTTGAGGGCTGCCAGCTATGTTGAATTACTTGTTTAGTGCTAAGTGAAACTTTTGTCCTTTTAGCTTTTTGCTGTTCAGCTTTAATGTAATGTGGTAGGATCAGCAAGATTTGTTAGCCCCTCTATGGACCATATCTGATTAAAAATTTTGCTTTGATTTTAGTTCAGAAATATAATCAAAGTTATGCTAATGACTAGAGTTGGTTACAAGATAGTCTCTTGTTTATGTTTTCAAGGTTAAGCCTAGGATGGATAACTATGAAGTTTGCCTATGTAGATCTACTTGAAATAGATACAGTCCTAAAACACTTATCTAAGGAATATGCCAGAATTAGAGATTATGGCATTCTGTTTTACAGGGTGCAGTTTAGAGCAGATAACTAAAGATGGACAAAGAGTAACTCAGATATGCTGGCCCTCAAGCTTGTCAGAGATCTGTGGAATATGGCATTTTAACATGTGTAAGCTTATTGTGACAGAGAGTCCCAAAGTCCTGGCAGTAGCTCCCAAGGTCTCTGAGAAGATTTGGGCACAATGATAGATGACTTCAACTCTGGATTGTGGTATGCTGACCATTGGACAAGACTGCCTAAACTGGCCCTCCACTAGGGCCCAGCCTAAACTGTGGACACCTGGAGAGTCATTGTTTCATGTTGCTGAAGGCAAGGTGAGATCAGTCTCTCATGTTCTTTTTTCCACAGAAACAGTCTCTCATCTTCTGTGCCTGATGGCCAGACTGCCTCTGCTCATGATGCTATGAGACCGCAGGAGTCAGGGACAACTGCTTTGGTGGTGAACTGACTAGTCGTCTCTGTCATTTTGATTGGTACATAGATTGATAACATTTATTTGGCTTATAATTTATCCTTTTCAGGTCTCTGATCACATTGATGGCTAAGCTAAGTTAATGGTAGCTTTGCGGCTAAGAGGCAGACAATTAGATCCACTGTTAGTTCATTGGTCAATTTATTAACTTGTTAGAACTATTAGGTACTAAATCTCTTATTTAGAAAAGCAAAGGGGTTTGTTTGCCTTGCTCACAGGCTTCATGTTAATTGCCTATGTTTTATGGTGAATAACTGGATAGAAAGATGTAAGGTCTGAGGATATGAAAGTTTAAGTTAAAGTTGAGAGTCGAGGAAAATGTTTCAAAGTTGGTAAGTGCAAGGAAGATTGGAAGGTCTAAGTAAGTGTTTTAAGATATGTGAATGTAAGTTGTAATGATATAAGAGAGTAATTTAAGGCATATTGAAAATGGGAGCTATTTCAGATTTTTCTCCCTCTCTGCTATTGTGCTTATGTTGTTATAAGATTTCAGAAGTTCAAAGTTATGACATTGATCAATAGAGTTGGGATAAGCTGATGGAACACTGACTGCTTATTATCCAGTCACAAGCTTGAGATTTTAATTTCCTTTTGGTTGTCTTCTGGGCATAGACTTAAAGGTGCTTCTCATCATGCTAAAAACATCTGTCTAATGTCTATATTTGACCCAAAAGCCGTAGCTTTTACTAGGTCTTAATGTCATGAGCCTACTCCTGCTACCTTGCAGACACCTGTTAACTGCTTTTTCTAAAGTATGGATCTCAATACTATAGTGATACTAATATACTTCTTTTTGTAAATGAAAATTCATATGAGTTTCAGGAAGTCAAAAAATCATAAGACCTGGATATGGCATGGCTCAAACACACCCCAGATGAGTTTTTTCCTTAGTCTTGGGATTCCTCACTTTCCTATTTACTAGACAAATTTTAACTTGTGTCTCTAGTCTGAATTTGTCTTAGCAGATTTTCACCTGGCTTACAGAATTTATTTGGTGATCAGCTATGGACTACAAGCTGAAATATGGACTTGCTGGAAGCTGATATGATTGTCCCCTGTCTCTTTGGATCAACCAACCACATGCTTCCGAGGACTGCACCATTGCCCAGCCTTTGGCTGGCATTTCAGCCTTCCTAGCCCCTGATGCCAACGGTCCCATGTCAGCACTGAAGTAGTTTCAGAAGACGAGACCTTTACCCATAATTCCTACAGGCTGAAATGCTAAGTCCAAAGGGGCTCCCTGACATTAGCTATTATCTTGGGGACCTGCTTAGCTGGAGCAGCAACTGGACAAAAAGCCTGGAGAGATCCTAGAGATAAAGGATTCTAGAGGATGGTTTAAATCTTGGTATAATAGTTCTCCTTGGCTTACTACCCTTATATCTACCCTGATGGGATCCCAACTCTGTTTGATTTTTACCTTTGGGGATGGCTTTCATGAGGGAATGCTTGGGAGATATACAGTTAAGGTACTCAGATCCCATTGTGGAAAGGTAAATCTGGAGGACACCAAGGGTCATATCTGGAAGATCCATGATTGGGTCTTCAAATGATTATGGGAAGGGGGGAATGAGAGACCAAAGAATTAAGAATTGGTTGTTTTTTTGGGGGGTTGGGTTGGAGAAGGGTATTGGTTTAAAGTTTAAAGCACAAGCCTGAACAAAGGCTAGACAGGTGGAGACATGTCCAGCCACCTAGAGGAGGAACCATCCTTACTACATTCTTTTCCTGCCCACTACAGATACAGTTTTTAGGGAACTGGCCTAGGTCTCCCTCTCCCCTAGGACAGCCAAACAAGGAAAGCCAGACCATTAATAGTTTTGGGGCTTTTCTATAGCCAATCAATTAAAAATGCAACATCCCCTTTTGTGATTCAACCAATAGACACTTGCCAGGCAGGAATTCCCCTGCTTTGGGTGCACTGTGAGGAACTTGAATCTGTAAATCACCACCTACCCTGACCATGAGGTTCTCTGCTTTCAACTGCTGCAGCAGTGAGGGTGTGTACAAACTATAGCTTGTAATAAAAAGGTCCTCATGTATTTTGCAACGGACTCAACTCCTGGTGGTCTTTTGGGGTCTTGTGAATTGGGCACAACAATTTTAGAGAAATTCTTGATCATTACTGAACACCTGGCATACTGTTAAAGTGTCGAAAATAAGAAAAATCTCTTAGTTTCCAACCAGATATCACTATTTATTGCTTGGCAAATGATAACTTTTTTGGATAGGCTTTGTAACATGGCTTGCTTCTATGTGTTCAGCCACACTCATTGCTACCTACAGTCATCTTCCCCATTCTTTCTCATGGGAAAACAATCTTTACATAATTTCTGAAATCTACTTCAACACTGTAGCACTATCCTTCATGTTTCATTACAGCCGATAACCCGTAAATGTTGTGAGTTCCCTAGAAAAAGCTAAAATTCTCAAACCATTAAGAATCATTAGTAGCTGGGCAGTGGTAGCTCACACCTTTAATCGTAGGAGGCAGAGGCAGGCAGATCTCTATGAGTTATAGAGCAAGTTCCACGACAGTCAGGGCCTCACAGAGAAACACTGTCTCAAAAAGAAGAAGAAGAAGAAGAAGAAGAAGAAGAAGAAGAAGAAGAAGAAGAAGAAGAAGAAGAAGAAGAAGAAGAAGAGGAAGAGGAGGAGAAGAAGAAGGATTATTATGAAAGTGATGAAGAGACAAGTCAAGTGCAGGCATGACTTTGCATAAGTTTGTGAGCTGGAATTCATTTTTGATGAAAATTTTACACAGTAACAGAGAAGTCAGAAACAGTGAGTTTTTCATTTAAATTTGTTCACTCATAAAGGCTCTGCTTTATTTTGAAGAGGTCCTTCCCTTCCTTCCTTCTTTTTTCCCTTCTCCCTCCCTGCCTCCCTTCCTCCCTCCCTTCTTTCCTCTTTCCCTTCCTCATAGAGGCTCTGCTTTATTTTGAAGTTCTTTCCTTTCTTTCCTTCCTTCTTTCCTCCTTCCCTCCTCCTTCCTTCCTTCCTTCCTTCCTTCCTTCCTTCCTTCCTTCCTTCCTTCCTTCCTTCCTTCCTTCCTTCCCTCTTTCCTTTTCTTTCTCTGTATATAGACCAAACTGGAACTCACAGACATCCACCTGTTTCTGCCACTCCAGTGCTAGCATTAAAGGTGTTAGCCACCATGCCCCACAGTTGATAGCCACTGATTTTAAAGCAAGATCCCCTGACTTGAAAGGCCTTTGCAGTGAATTCAGAGAACAGGGGCCTATAAAGCTAAGGGCTGACCTTAGCTGTGTCACTAGGTACAGAGGCTGGGGCCCCTGGCCTTGCTCTTATTCTCTGGTTTCCCATGAAATCTATTTCTCTCCTGAGTTGATACATATTTGCCCCTGACTAGCAAGTTCCTAATGCATAAGAAGATCTCATTCCCCACAAGCAAGGAGATATCTTTCTTGTCTTGTTTTGTCTTTTCTTTTCCTTACTTCTCTCTCTTTTCAACAGTTGTGTTTCGTTCTATTCTTAAGGTCTCTGGGATATCCAGCCTCTGGTTTCTGGCTTTCCAGGCAGTGTAAGGGTGGGCTCCTTTTATACCACTCCTGGGCACATACCCAAAAGATGTTCCACCATACCATAAGGACACTTGCTTAACTATAGTGTCCATAGCAGCTTTATTCATAATAGTCAGAAACTGAAAACAACCTAGATGTCCCTCAACCTAAGAATGGATAAAGAAAATGTGGTGCATTTACACAATGAAATATTACTCAGGTGTAAAAACAAGGACATCATGAAATTTGCCAGCAAATGGATGGATCTAGAAAAGATCATGCAGAATAAAGTAGCCCAGACACAGAAAGACACACATTGTATGTATTCAGGGTATGAATATTAACTATATAGTACAGGATAACCGTGCTACAGTCCACAGACCCAAAGAAGCTATGTAACAAGGGTTGGGGGGTGGAAATACATGCATCTCACTGTGAAGTGGAAATAGACTAGGTATCATGAGTTGATGGGGTGTGTTGGGTGTGTGTATTGGAGATGGGGGAGTGGGGTCTGGATAGGGGTGTGGGGATGAGAACAGGAGGGATCAGGCATGGGGAGAACGGAGGGAGTGAGAGAGTACTGGGCTTTGTTTATAAGCTCCTTGTTTAAAGTACTGAGATAAATATTTAAATTGCCCTTGCCCTTATCCTCAAAGGTATGCTACCAGAGTTATCGGATTCATGACTACTAGGTTCTCTAGTTTCCTCACAAGAAAAGTGATCAAGTGTCTTCTGCCACCCAAGAGATCTCAGTAATGAAGGTGATTAGCTATGGAGGAGGAGATACTGTGAAAATATGCTACCTATGCCATAAACATTTACCTTTGCTCACTAGATGGGCTTTAGAGTTTTCTGGTAGGGATCCTTCTTTCCTTCCTGATTCAGGTCTCTCCCCTTCCCTTCTCCTTCTGTCCTCCCTTTGTTTCTGGGTCTGTTGTATCCCAGGCTGACCCAATACTTGCTACATAGCCAAAGATAACCTTGACCTTCTGACCCTTTTCTGTCTCCTGAGTTCTGGGATAGAGGCAGAAAGCACCTACGCCATTTTATGCATGGCTAGATTAAACTTGATGCTTCGTGTATGCTGGGCAACTGCTCTACCTACTGAGTACTCACACGTAGCCCAGTTTTTATTTATATCCACCAACATTTTTTTTTTCAGACCAATTTAAGTGACACTTCTGGAATATCAAGGTGTAAACTAAAAGTGGGAGATCTCCCCCCTGTTCCCCACTGTGTGTGTGTGTGTGTGTGTGTGTGTATCTTGAGATAGGGTCTCATTTTGTATCTCAGGATGGCCCCATCCTGATGGTTGGAATTGTACATTTGAGCCATCACATCTGACTTAGAAAACATCCTAATAACGTCAAATAATAGAAATTGTATTACCTAGAAACTTTGAGAGAAAAAGTTTTTGTGGTAAGGAAGATGATTCTGTATTTTAAAAAAAGTTAGAAATAAAAAAAAGCTATACTGAAGTATTTTTACAATTTTAAGTAAAAATGAAATATTTTTACTTAATATTGTATGCGAAACTATGGTGATCCCCAAAGAAATATTTGACTTGTACAAGGGGAGATGCAGGTCTATTCTTGGATTCCCAGAAAATGGTGATGTGTCTTATTTTGCAGAGGCTTGAAAAGGCCACCCCACAGGGCCACTGTATTTCCCGAGATGCCCAGTCAGGGCAGGCCCACGCCCTGACGCACTTCTTGCCTGCACACCTCCAGCCTGCGTGTGATCAAGCACGTCAATGCCCTTGGGTCAAACGAACTTGTGCAGGGGAGTGAGAACACGTGGCTCGTTTTCTCCCATAAACAATAGCCTTCAATAGTGTCTGGCAGAAGGCAGGAGGGGAAGGATTCAGTTCTGTTTAATGGACAGGCCACTGAGAGTTTGACCATGTTCTCCAGTGAGTATATAGATAATACAAAGTGAACTTGTTTCTTCTTCTTTTTATTTTTACTGTTTTTTTGGGGGGCGGGGGGAGATGGGTGAGGTCATAAGGAGAGGGTGGACACAGAAGGATAAGAAGGGATTGTGATGGGGAGCATGATGTGAAATGTTCAGAGAATTATTAAAAATGTTATGGGGGTGAGGGTTGGAGAAATTACTCAGTGTTAAGAGCACTGGCTGCTCTTCCGGAGGACCAGGACTCAATTCCCAGCACTGACATGGCAGCTCACAACTGTCCATCTCCAGGAGATCCAACACCCTAACATGGACATACATACAGACAAAACACCAATGCACATAAAGTAAAAATAGTAATAATTAAAAATAGATACATAGGACTCTGTGTCAATGACAATAAATAATAAACTTAAATAATAAAAGATGTTATGTGGGAAAAATTAAAACAACAAAACAAAACAAAAACTAAAAAAACAAAACAAACAAAAACACAATAGCCTCCATTATTTCTGCAGGTATCTGTCCTTGGGCAAGGGGTTTATAGGCTAGAGGCATTTTCATTTTATGGATCTCTTGGGCACTGTGATTAGAACTTAAAGCTAACTTTGCCTTTCACAGAGGATTAGCACCAGTGTTTTATGCTCATGGGAAGAGAGAGTTTTGTCTTCAGCTATGAGGAGAACTCTCTTTAGGTGGACATTTTGACTTTACTTTTCTCATGTGTAGGCTGTTGAGTGCCCTTGTGGAAACACATGAGCACATGCTCTGAATGGTCTTGAGTATGTGCACATGTGTTGTGCATCGCAACGTGGGTGCTTTCTGCATGCTGTGAATGAAGTCCACCAGGCTTGGCCTGGCAAACACGGCCTGTGTTTATGGAACATCTTTCCTCTGTAGATAAGTGTTGGATCTGGCATTCCTACTTGTTCTTGTTTTTATATGAAATGTGGATGGGTAAGTGATCTCCAGCTGGCAACGCCATTTTAAGAAGTTGTGGAACTTTAGGAAATGGAACCTTGCTGGTGGAAGCAGGGTACTTGGGGGACATACCTTTGAAGGTCACACTCCTCCCCCAGTGTCTGTTTCCTCCCTCTGCGTCTTGATATTCTTTCCAAGTGCGTGGAGCCCAATGGCCAAAACCTGAGTCAAAATCTTTCCTCATTGTAAGCTGTCTGTAGCAGGATTTTGTTGCACTCATGAAGCAACAACTAATATCTCCTGTTTTGTTGTGCTTGTATTTTCTTTCCAGCTTGGTCATTTCCTAGAACCATCTCTAGGCCAAGGAAAAGAATCAGGCAATAATTTCAGAGCAAAACTTTCAACGCAGCTCTATTCTCAGAGATGTCCCAAGGGAGAAAGACCTGAGGGAAATAGTTCCTTGTTTGCTTGTATTACTATTACTTTTGACGGCTCAAAGCATAGGCTTAAATGTTTGCTCAGTGCAAGCTGCTTGTTGTGGAAGTCAGAAATCTTAGAACAATGTTGGGTCTCAGAGGGCTGAAAGCAAGAGGTCTATGGGGATGTGTTACCTTCTGGAGACTCCTGGGAGAATTCCTTTCCTTGTTCACTGGAGTCATTGTTAGAACCCAGTCCCTAGCAGTTGAACATGATGCCCA